GTCATTAAAGGTTGAAATAAAATTTATGTCCAGAAATTGATCACAGACTATATCAATAGGCCATGTGAAAAAATTGAAATCATTGTTGCAAATCGCACAAAACCGGTTGTAATACGTTCGAGAAGTATCGTAACTTGTAACCGGTGGGTATTTCAGTTTATCGACGTCATTCGTGACGTTTTCGCATCTTTTGAGAATATTACTTTCTGTGTTGTATGGACAAGAGTCGATCATTAAATATGATGTTCTTTGTTTTCTTTCAATGTAGTTTGATGACGCATTGACGATTGTGACGTTCTTACAGGTCGGTACTGGAGGAGAGAAAAACACATCCGGGCAACAGTCACCTCTGATATAACATTTCTGATCACAAAAACATGGCGGACAACGCGGGTGCAGTGCTGAATCTTTGACCTCTAAGGGAAAAAGTGTTTTATTCAGGAAACAAAAATGCCCAGTTCCACACAGTGTCAAAATTTGCTCAAGTAACTCCGGAACCTCTATCTCCTCCGTCTTCATGAACGGTCGAAACACTACACATAGAAATATAATGTAGTAGATAATCCCCTGCATCATTGGTAGATTGTTTTATAATTGAGAACGCATCTACTGGTATCGGGGTTATTATGGATATAATTCACGATAATATAGTAATTGTGAGTACCTTATTAAGTATTTATGAACAAATCTCTTCCAATCAATAAGTTTATGAATTCTATAATGGCCTCTTGTTTAGTATTTATGGACACATCCCTTCAAACCATAATAAACGGACTCACATTAAATAATGCATGCCTGAGTTACATGTATTAACAGCTACTGTCGTATTATTTTCGTGATGAAAGCTTGGCATTGAAAAATGAAGACTAGTGTAATTCATTAAACATAAATTAATAATGCATATTAAAAGATGGTGCGCTATACGGCTCTTCAGTAGACACGCCCGTTAAACATCCGTTATCGCCTGTGGCTGTGTATTTAAAGTCAAAGTGACCAAACACCTGGTACATTGCGGTTCTCACCTATTGTGCCCCTTAATATCTAGATAGCTTCAATGAATCGTTTTCACTGAACATCGTTTAGGTATTGTCTATTATCTAAAATCATTGTTGAATTATTTAGTTTGTATACGGTGGCGAAATCAGTTATGCATAATAAAGCCGCTACACACTTCAGAAGTGAAGAAATATTTAGAAATACATGTATCTGCATGAATGCTTTAAAATGTTTGATGTCAGCTATACAGGGAAAACTTGTTTTAACAACCAGCATATGAAGTAATACGATAAGCGATCCCCAAAACGTTCATGTTCCTTCTCTTTGGATATAGTCTGATCATTACAAAGAACTGTAAACCATTTGTTATAATTGGTGTATTTAATAGATGTCTTTTTGTTTGCATTTTTTTTTCTAAAGTTGATTTTGGACATATCTCGAAAAAAAATTCAAAGTGCTTTGCCACAATGTATTTATTTAGCAACAACAAAACGGGGAGAGAAAAAAGAAAATAGAAGAAAACCACACGAACGTGTTTTGTTTTTGTACTTGTACAACTATACATGACAAGTACAGGCATTTTGTCATTGACATGATTGACAAAATGAAACTGGGATTTCTGTTAAAGCGACCATTGTACAAATTAACTATAAGGCAAACTTGATGCATAAAAACCCTTGAACTTTACTTTAGTTTGTTATTTGACGGTACATATCAGCCATCATAGATATGGACCTAAATGTCAAATGTAAAAGTCATCGATAATGATATCCAAATATTTATTTTAATGGTATCACCTATTCGTTATCATTCGAAATCGTTTTTTAGCGTCACTTCTTTAAGGAAATATTTAATTTCAAGTCGAGACTTTATCTCACCAGTTGTCCGCGTTAGTCAGTGGTACGAAAATCTGCTCTAGAGTCGCGGAGTAAGGAGCTGAACCTTAAGTCGGGGGTTCGAATCCCACTGTGGGACGTGCATGCCGGTCCTTTGGATAACCGTTTAAACCGAGATTCCGTGGTGCAGTAGGAGCTGGAACAAAAAATATCTACTCCTCAATGGCTCTGAGTCCAACGTAAATGTTTAAATTTGAAGCCGTCCATCGGCAAGTAATGGCGCCTCCATATGAGAGAAAATTTCTCGTGAGGGACGTTACAAAACAAAATAATCCCTTTTTCAGTAGGTGATGAGATGAAAAATATCTGCCATTCCTTAATGGTCCTGAGTGCCACGTACAGGTCTAAATTTACAGCCCTTCACCGTCGAGTGGTGGTGTCTCCTTATGAGTGTAAAATTCTAGAGCGTGACGTTACACAACAAACAAAATGAATTCGCCATTGTTAAAGGATAAAACTCTTTCTGCTGGAGGGTTTTGTTTATAAAGGGAAAAAGGCTATGAAAACAATAAAAAGCCCGTCTTTAAATACAGTTAAATACAGGCACATAGAAAGAGAGATAATATATGCTTCCGAGTCATGCTAAACAAAGTAATCAATTTATACAGGAACGTGATTTACTTCTAATATGATGAACTGATTAATTCATTAAATGTTGTTAGTTGATGAACTGATTAATTCATTAAATGTTGTTAGTTGATGAACTGATTAATTCATTAAATGTTGATAGTTGAATTTTTCACACATTTCCTTCTTTATGGGTTTCTCGACTTTATTTTCATATACAAAATAAAATGTTTCGGCATAGACAATGTTTATGAAATTTACTTTATGATACTTTAATTACAATTTAACTTCAGTACATGTATCTAGAAGATTGATATTTCGATTCAGTGGTTCTAAAATCTGCTTAGTTGAAGTCCAAACCATAGTTTTTATCCTTAAACTCAAAATTCGAATATTTGTTGACGTGAAGACTGGTTTTCCGGATTTGACCGTTTTTAACTTAGGTTTGTTTTCACAGTTATAATACACAAAATAATGGCTGACAAAGTATAGGTTTGCATTTGAAGCCGACCAAACATGATTTATATGAGAATATTTCTTGGGGACTCGATTACATAGTCAAAATTATACCTGTTTCAGTGCAGATGAAAAAGAACCTTATCTTATATTATCAACTTTGATTCAAATAAAGATCTAAATTTGAAGCCATCACGGATATTGGTTTCCTTTTGTTTTCGAAAAATGCAAAAATAATTGACATTTCAACAAAAAACAAGAAAATATTTTTTGTTAAAGTATATCTTTTGTTGGAAGGTTTTGTTACATAAAAGGGTAAAAGGCTATGAAACAATTTGGTGTCTTTAAATACAGTTAAATACAGGCGCATAGAAAGAGAGATAATATGCTTCCGAGTCATGATAAACAAAGTAATCAATTTATACATTCACGTGATTTACTTCTGATATGATGAACTGATTTATTCAATAAATGTCGTTAATTGAAATTTTTCACTCATTTCTTCTATAGGATCCACTTGTTTTTGATATAATATATATGCTTAATATACTATATAGTTTAAAATTATTTAATCATACTTTGATTCAAATTGAACTTCAGTAATATCAATTGATCATCAATTCTAACTTTTAGTTGAGAGACCAAACCATATTTTTTTTAAAATTCAACTATGTCAAAAATTTTCCTTTCTGTCCTTATCTTTTTTGAGATTACAAATTTTGCTGTTTTTCTTTTGTATTCACACTTACAATACCCCTTTATTTCTTGCTACGAACCTACATGTAGAACGCTCTGAAATGGTTTAAATTTGAGAAAAAACATAAATGATTATTGCATAATTACAAACTTTTTTCGAATCTGAATAAGTTTTCACAAGAGGGACTTACATCTAACTTTTCATCAATCTTTCCATTGATTTCTCTGTTTATTAAAACCCATAAATATACTTTGTTATCAATTAGACATTGCTTGATTTTTTGTTTTCGAAAATTTAATGCAAAAATAATTGTATATTTTTATTAACACCGGCCAATATATAAACATTTTACATTGATTGATTTCAATTCTTCTTTGTCAGAGTAAAAATGCATCCAATGGAAAAGCGCTTATATATATTCATAATTTTTTAATCTAGAGACATGATTTTGACAGGGTCCATTTTTTTCGATATTGCAGTTCCTTGAAAAAAATTTCTAGTTAAAAATCGACTTATAATTTTAGAACATTACAGCAAATAAGACATCAATTTCTTCAGTTTATATATGAAAATAAATTGTACTTTAGTTCCTATGAAAACATATGTACAGGGAAATACTGTGATAAGAGTGGCATTTTGCTACTGTTATAGAATGTATGTTTACTTGCACACATATTAAAATAAAGTTTTAGTGAAAAGCTTGGTTCTATAAGTGTAATATAAACTTGAAATTAAAAAAAAAATTCACATAGGCTGATTTTCACCTTTTGCGTTTCCTCATAAAATTCATCTGATCTTTTATATTTTTGATGAGTATATATTACACTTTTAGCACTTACATACATGTAGCATATTTTGAATTTTGTTTTCATCTGTAAAACTTTACTGAGTGTGATTTGTCCATATTTGTAATTTTATTGAAGGATTTATCCAATATTTTCTATTTCATTTTTCAAGTCTAAGGACAAAAAAATCAAAGAATTATCCACTTTTCTAAACCTGTGACATGATATTAAGTCTCCTCCAAAGAAAAAATCTGTATCATCTGTCCTTAAAAATGAATAATCGTTCATATCGTTTTTGAAAGAAATTTGTTTTTCTTAACTTTACGAAACTTAATTAAAACAAGAATTTAAAACTTTCATTTTTACTCTATACTCTTTTTTTGGCCCAGTTTTGTTTTTTTTTTTTAGTAAAACTTTTTTTACTTAAGCAAGACTGCAAACTAAAACTGCGGCTTTTACATGGAAAGGCCACCGTGGAGAGGGTTGATTTTTATTTTACGAGATTGGAGTAGTGAACGAGGTAGGAGTCGTCATCGGCCATGTTGGATTTGATATTGACGAGGTAGAAGTTGTAATGGGCGATATTAGCCTTGATGAGCTTAGAGTTGTTATCGGCGATGTGGGCTCTGATGTTGACGAGGTAGGAGTTCTCATGTGGGCCTTGAATGTGACCAGGCAGGAGTTTTCACGGACGATATGGGCCTTGAAGGTGACGATATAGGAGTTGTCATGGGCGATGTTGGATTTGACGTTGACGAGGTAGAAGATACTGGTGACGAGGCGGGCGGTGTCAAATTTGAGGTTGGCTTTGTTGTGGACAAAGTGGGTACTTCTGTAGTGGAAAGGGTTGAAGATGGGTGTGTCCTGGAAGCGGTGCGATTAGTCATGGAAGAGAAGGGTGTTGTCGTGACTGGCGTTGAAGTAGTTGTGAAAAAGGTAGATGAGGTGATTCCAATGGATCTGGTCGTAGATCTTGATGTCACTTAATACAAAAAAGGAGGACAATGACATTGCCAGGAATTTTCAACGATGCTATTTAACTTTAATACCTTATATATGAAAACCTCACAAATACTAGAAAGTTAATGAAAAAATAAAACCACAACTAGCTCGAATAAGCTTGAGGGCATTTCTTAAAAAAAATATTTTTTTTTCAGATATATCATGGGAGGATATATTATTCATTAGTAGGCATCATCGTCGAAAAGACGAATATACCGAGGTTTTCTGGTCAGGATAACAAAGATTTAAGACATGTGTAAATGGTAACAGTGAATACGTTGAGGAATTGAAAATATTTTGAATATGTATAACGTACTTTTCGTATATTCAGACAACCTTTTGCATACCTTGTAATTTATTGAATGACCCTCATACTTGATAGAGCGAAGCGTAGTAAATTTATTAAAAGAGACGTAAAACCAAATCTACTCACTTTGCATGCTGCATCGATCCTTGTTACAGAGTCGATACATATCGCCTTCGTTAGCACAACAACAATAGCAACTCCTTGTTGTTCGTTTGCCTATGATGTTATTGGGTCTCACTGATGTTTGTTTATTTGGCCCTTCAAGACTATTTATGCTCAAAGTGTCACATGTCTAAATAATAAAATTTTACAAGAAAGGATACAGTTGTTCAAAAACAAAACAAAAATCATTTAATGAATTTTAATGCTTGAAGACAGCAAAACTTTCAATACCTGCTTAGATGCGCAACCCGAACTGTAAACCAAAAATCCATAGTTACTCAAGGTTTCTGACGTGAAGCATATCTACAAAAAGTTTTTTTGTAAACATGTTTCACAACCATGTCACGTTGCTAAAAGCTTATACAAAATACGTTATTATCTCTGTAATGATATTGCAAATTTAGTGCAACATTGAAAACTTCACCTCAAGAGAAACTTTCAGAAACCAAAAAGCAGCTGTCAATTTTCTTCAAAACAGAACAATGTTTTTGATTATTATCAACCTACAATGTACGGGATAATGTTTCCGATAAGTAGGAGGAATATTAATTTGATTTATTGAAAATTAGGATATGCAAACTTATTTCATTTTGCGCCTCTTGTTTTTTTTCTGTTGCATGTCTATATCTATATGGACTTTTAAACTTTAATACTGTTTGTTTTCTTCTCCATATATTACATGTTTTCCTTCTTTGAAATTCATAAATGTTTTCTTTCATAACATAATGATTTTTGGATTATTAAATTTACATGATTACACACATAGCATACTTGCTGACTGCCTGAAACTGAAGACATTCAAAACAGAGAAATAAGAAAGAATATGTATATATCAATCAACCTTTAAGGAGTTTTGCTTTCAAAGGTAAACATATCAAATTCATTTTTAAAAAGTAGATTTCATACAGCTGGCTTCAGCTTGATGTGAACCATAGGGATTCTATTTTAATTATACTCTCAAGAAAGATTTTAAAGATATTGTTCTACGTTTAAAAGATTTTCTCATGATGTAAATAAAAAAAAGGGTAAAAATGAAAACTGCGAAAACTTGTAGACCTAGCGTTTTAAATCATCATTTATGCACAGATGTTTAACCCTAAAAAATCAATGTTTGTACCATTGTTAAGTTAAAAAGTTAAAATATACAGATCATGGAATAAATTAGATAAAAAATGTAATCAATGATATATAGGGTTTGGAAAAAAATGAAAAACATTTATTCAAAAGAATTAATATTGCAAAAAAAGTTCAAACACATCAATTTTAATGGCATTAACACGAGAAACTATTTATTTTGAGATTTCCAGGCCAATGCATTATTAATTCTTCAGCATTGTAAATCAGTTTGAACTATCACTCAATTTTCAAAAGTCTGTTATCGTTATAATTTGAGACATATCTAAAAACGATGGAAAAGTCAAGAAGCACATTATTTTGAAGTAATCAGAACTGTAGACAAATTTTATATTTACATTTATCTGATCTTATTAATAACCAATGTGTAATTTTGATGACTAATTAATGATCAGCTCCACAGACACTCGTAAATTTATAAGAATTTCCAATTTCTTTACATATCATTTTTTTCAACATCCGCGTTGCTTTGCATAAATTTATTGGAGATGTAAAATATTGTAAAACATAAATCAACACTTAGACCCACCATGGACTTGCACTGACAGGAATTTTAAAATTTACAAAATGAAATCTTCAAACGAATGTGTTTGTTTTCTCCATATATTACGTTTTCTGTTTGAAATTCATAAAGATTTAGTGATAGAATTACCTCTCCTGGTGGACAAACCCGGACGTTCTGTTGGCAGGATGAGAAATCCCTTACATGATTACACACAAAGCATACTTGCTGACTGCATGAAACTAAAGACATTCAAAACAGAGAAATAAGAAATAATATGAGTATAACAATTAACATCTAAGCAATTTTGCTTTCAAAGGTAAACATATTAAATTCATTTTTAAAAAGTCGGTTTCATACAGCTGCCTTCAGCTTGATATAAACCATAGAGATTCTATTTTAATTATACTCTCAAGAAAGAGTTTAAAGATATTTTAACAATTATTCTACGTTTCTTTTCAAAGTAAAAGACTTTCTTATTTATGTATCGGGTAAAAAAAATGTATGGGTAAAAAAAAAAACTGCGAAACTTGTACGCACCTTCAAAATAATAAATCATCATTAGTATGAACAGGTTACTGATATTTGGCCCTAAAAAATCAATGTACCATTGTTGAAAGTAGAAAAATATAGATCATGAAATAAATTAGAAAAAAAAATGTTAACCATGATATACATAGGAAAAAATTGAAAGTCATACATTATTTATTCAAATGCTAATTAAATACAAAATTGCTCAAGTAATTCATATCAGTTTTAATGGCATAAATAATACGAAGACAACCATGAATCATATTATATTTCCAGACCAGGCATCAAGCAAGTTCATCTTGCATTCTCACCAAAATCAGTTTGAAATATCACTCAATTTTTAAAGTCTGTTAATTTGAGAGATGTCTAAAAACGACAGAAAGATCAAGAAGCACATTATTTTGAATTACGTAATCAGGATTGTTGACAAATTTAATATTTGCATTTATCTAAACTTACAAACGTGTGACTAATGTTTGGCTCAAAAGACACTCGCTGATTTGAAAGAATTTATAAATTCTCTACGTATCATTTTTTTTTTACATCCGTGTTACTTTGCATAAATTCATTGGTGATGTCAAATATTGTAAATACATCTGCACTGTACTGATCAAGTAGAATAATTATAACGACCATAAAATTTACAAAATGAAATTTTCAAACGAATGTGTTGAAATTCCTTTACCATCAGCCTTTCTGTGAGAAACTTTAATTTTTTTTGTTAAAAGTGCGTGTTCCTGTTTAGAGACGCTATATGCAGAATATTTCTACATAAATAAGAAAAATTGAAGATGGTGAAGCTAAATTCATCTTGTTTGTCAAACATTCCCTTCAAAAATTTACCTTTTCCCGAAGAAAGTAATCCATAAAAGTCCATTTCTTTACATGCGCATAATATAGAACTAAAAAGATAAGATCTTGAACTCTAGCTCAGGTAAACGTGATATTTATCTCCGTACTTTAAATACATGAATTTTCACAATTATCACCTATTTGAATGTTTTTAAACTTTCACAATGCCGTCTGAAATAACTTTGGTTTGAATTGATATTATTTCAAAAAGGTGATTTCCTTATTCAATTCCAACATATAACTTTTAATTGCTGGTCCCGAGGTGTCTGTCAGGGCTGCCGTACTCTGTTGTACACTCTCTCACATTTGCCGCTGTAACTGCAAAACCATTACACATTGCAAAGCCTCTCCCTCACACCCTGGACTGCCGACAGGCTATTGTCAATGTAATTAGCTGTAGTACCCCGCCCAAGACCTGTTAATTACGAAACGGGATGAAAGTCCAAGGAAATAGGACCCTGAGGAAAAATATAATAAAACAACCATACTAAACCTGTAGACTCAAACAAGAAAACATAGTTTACAAATTTCATTTTCAAATACCTGATGCAGTTTAAGTACCCGCCCCGGCTACTTCAACATAACAAGCCAAAAAGGTCTTATATCGGCTGTGACTTCCCGGGTACTACCCGAACACGAGCTCTCAGGTAGATAAAATTACAAATCGAGGGGCTCCCCACAGGATAAAGAACAATATTTACATTTACACCATAGGGGCATATTAAGGGATTAAATTTAGTTTGTTACAAAACACTTATAGTCACTAAGATGTACACAGGTATTATCATGTACAGGTCATTTCGATTTTTAAGCAAGAATTGCAATAGTTTTGTGATAAGATTTCAATCTATTATTTTTCTCAGGAAGAAAAAAACAAATTAGTTTTTAATGTAAATATGGAACATCATTATAAGAATGTCACGTTTGAATATTTTATAAAAACAATAAAAAATGAGTTTCAGATGTCGTTTCTGCATTTCACAAAAAATTACGTGGTAAATTGACTTTAACAACGTGTTTCCTTGAAAATGTTTGTTTGTTTGTTCGTTTGTTGGTTCTTTAACACCTCCCTCTAGAATTTTACACTCGCGTGGAGATGCCACCAATTACCACTAAAGGATCGTACATTGAGACCTATACTCAGCACTCATGGCTATTGAGCAGTGCAGTATCAATTTGGTACCGACATTTACTGCGACACGGGCCTCGGTCTCTTCAAGCCCTGCTCTAAAATGTTAATATGTAGGAGACTATCTTTGTCTTATATTTTTTAAAGCAGATTTGAACTCTTCAGGGTGAGGTTTGCTGTGTGTCACTTTGGCAAATGCCATATAGAGAAGATTCCTCAACCCGATAAACCGAAATAAAATATGCAGGTTGAAGGCCCGTTTAAAGATCATGAAATTATCAAGTTTTATAATTTAAAAAAAATCATTGATACAGCAAAGTGTGAGCTACTTTTCAATTTGTTTTCTAGATTCTATATTTGCTACGAAAAGATGGACGAAAGACAAAAAATCACCGGGCAAAGTACACGCTGCCTATTGCAAAGCATTTGCAAATTGGTTAAAATAAGCCTTTTTCATATACATTACCTATACACGCTTTTGTATAAATGATGACTCGCTATTTTATTAATCTTATTTATTTTCGAAGTATTGGTTTAACCCCATACAAATTACAATGTAACTTAAGAGTCATAGCGCCTTGCATAAACCACAAATTTTTGGACATATCTTAGCTGTTTGGTTGTCTAAACAAACATTCACCACAAAGTTAAAATCACGACATCTCGGATCTGTATCAATACATGGAGGTTTTGTTGTATGTGCAGGTGTTTGAGAGCACAGTCCACAAGTTTTCTCACAAAGATGCCCTCTTGAGGGATCAGTACAGGTCGTCAATGCAAACGTAAAATCATTACAACGCAGGTCTTTGTCACAACAACCATGTGGACAAGACGTCGTAGGCGGGACTGTGGTTGTGGTGGGCGTTGGCGTTATCGTAGTAGTTGTGGGCGTGGTCGTAGTAGTTGTGGGCGTGGTCGTAGTAGTTGTGGGCCTCGCTGATGTAAACAGAGGTATGGTTGTGGTGGTGGTTGGAGTGCCTGTAGTATGCATCGTTAGTATAAAAGTTGTAAAGTGCATTTTTGAATAAAGGTATTATTGAGTGACAGTAAAGTGCATTTCTTGGATAAAATAATAGCAGTGATTATTGTTATGATCTTAAAACTTATAAACGATTAGAATCTTTTTTTTTTTTAAATTGATTCTTGTTTCTTGTCTCTCACTTACCAATAACAAGTTATGTAAATTTACATCTAGCGAATGTTTAATCATTAATATTTCTAGTTTTTTATGACAAACATATATTTTATGAATATGATTAGTATAAAAACATAGCAGATAAATATTTTCAATTTATTCATACAGAATATAAGTTTTCTGGTTATCAAAAGAAGCAACAACAAGCTTACCTTTCGAGTTGCAGCGATCCAGATTACACGGACGGTACGATTCCCCTTTGTTATCACAACAACGGATACATATGCTTACCATTCTTTTTCTTTTGCCTATGATGTTACCTAGTACCATTGGTGTCCGGGTAGTATATTTTACAGGTCCACCAAGACTACTCAAGGTTTCACATGTCTGTAGGAATTAACAGTTAAAGGCAGGGAACAGTCGTTTCGGAATGCAAATGAATGATCAAAAGAAAAAAGCAAATGTTTTTACATGCAAATTATTTTAAATTTTGCCCACAGTGCTATCGTCACCCCCATTGCATCATATCTCAAAATACATATATTTGTAAATACAATGAACATCAAACTAGTGTTAATTATTAGATCATTTTTATTCCAAAAATTCTGAACTCACAGAATTGTTAGAGTTGAATAAAGGGAACGAGGCCTAATTCAGATGGGAAACGTATACTACAAAAATAGTTTTTCCTCATAGTACCAGAAAATGAAAAAAATTGGAACTTTAAACGGTATTACCATAAAAAACAGCTACAAAAATTATCAAGGCATTAAAAATAGCTTCTTGTTACACATATGTAAATCCGAAACAGTGTGTTATAAACAAATCACTGATCACAACGAATTTGCGGACTTTTTGGTAAAAATGACGTATTTTATGTGCAGTGAGAGAAAAAGAGAGAGATCAAGTCCTTTTTTACAGTGAAAAATGCAATTCATTAATAAATAGAATGTTATTTGCAGATTTTAGATGGCCTATTAATTTATTTTCTTGTATTTTAAAAGTTTGGTGATTATATTTTGAATAAATTTGGAATAAACTTGTCTAATTGATCCTTTTTTCATCATACTTTGATAATTATAGAGTGGTGTGATATAAATTTATCATTATAATTGTAACCCCAATAGCCATATCCCGTTTATTTGACAGGCACAAATCAATAGATCTGTAAAATTAAAAGGATGCAATTCTAACGGTAATCTACTGTTATAATACCCTATGTCAGTATACAACTAAAGTATATCATTGAGGGAGTCAACAAGATTCCAGTTCTCGAAGAGCAAGCCGATTAAGGCACAGCTTAATGATATATTTTAACTGTTTTATTATACTGATATATTACATGTAAATTAAGTGAGCTTTATCATGAATATTCATGATGTTAATTTGGAACTGTTCGGTACTTTTCATATGATTAAAAGGAATGAATGGATATTCCGAATAGGTGTATATCAGTGCATCAAACTTACAAACCTTTTTGTGAGGTATAAGTCGTGATTTGCCCGGAATCAGCAAAATATATCAATGAATTTACTGTTACAAAGTTTAAAAATGGATAGAGGTATAATAATGCTAATTATGTCCCTTGTTGTTTTCTAGAGGATTTGTAAAAGGATTTACAAGATGTTCATTTGAAAGATTATGATCCCCATTTGTAGTTAAAACCTAGCCTGGTATGTAGCCATTATGAACAAATTTGAAATTGCACTATCTGAGAATGCTCTATATGAATATGACTTATCAGGGCAGATTCTTTACCTACATACTTTTACATAGAATATTGACCCTACATTGTTGCCACTGGAACTATGATTAGAACAAACTTGAATGTACACCACATCAGCTATGTAAGGAAGTTTCATGTTTATCTGACTTTAATCTGTCTTTGACGTATCATGAGGATCGACAAAAAGAGCAATCATAGATCACCTGAATGAGACAAAAAATGACATCTACTGTGAGCTATTTTTTTTCTTTATTTTTACTTGTTTAATTCTTTTTAACTTAAAAGGAGAAATGAGGAGTTGACTTACATGTCATTAAAATGTGGATTATTTTATTATGAGATGAAAAAAATATGTAAACTTCTTCTTATATTGACTGGATTCATTATAATTTAGGGCATGCTGATTTATATACTGCATCAGGGTGGGGAGTGATTAAGTGCTGGACTTGATTTTCAAGCACCTCCTTCGACCGTAAAAAAAGTTGTGTGTCTCGCTGGATGGCTATGTATTTTTGTTATGAAAATCTATATCTATATTAGAGAATTGTTCTACAACATCTTAAAAGTAAACTTCTCACAAAGTTTGTTTTCAGTAAATTCCACCTAATTAAAATTGGGAGTTTTTGGTAAGAATATATAGCTAAATTAAATACTGTTGTGCAACCCATAGACTTTAAACTTACTGAAATAACTATACTGTGTTGCACTCGAAGGTTCGTTCAAATGTAAAAGGTTTGCTTAATTAATTTAAGGACTGATTTTCGTTTTAGGACCAAGAAAATTATGTACTGTATTTTAGATATAATGCAAAGAATGGTTACGATAGCACTTTTGAGCAGACTAGTAGACTAAGTAAACTAGATTAAATTTATATTTACCTGATTAGACACGCATCCTGAGTTGTATACTAAATAACCATTATAGTGAATGCTTTGTGATGTGAAGCATACCTACAAAGAATGTTTTATATGTAACAGATACTCAAAAGCTGGATGTTTCAATCAATATTATTTATAGCATAGACTCTTATCTTTTATTTAATAATCAATAAGACTCCAAATTATATTTCTTTAGAAAAAAAATGTGTGGTCCAAAATTTAGTTTACAGGTGACTTTTTGAATTCAGTATCAAATTTTCGATACGTTATAAAATCCAATACATTACTATGACACATTTTTTCCTCATGTTATTATGAATACAAAGTATTAACTTTTGAGACACTTAATAAAATCGGTGGGAACAGGTATATTGATTGTTATTGATTATTATTGTTGAACGCCGAGTCGGCAGTATTTCAGCCATATTTCGGCGACAGGTATATTGAGAGAAATAAAAGGAGTCAAATTTACCTTTTATCTATGATTTTTCCCAAATTAAACCGATCCCGATAGGAATTATATAAAGAAAAAATACTAAAATTGGTTTGTTAATGTAGTGTATGTATTAAGTAATCCGGAAATTATGTTTCCGTGTTCAAGAAATGCAAATCTTATAGTTTTTTTGCATGTTTTGGTTTTCACACTTAGTTTAATAAACTTGTATTAAGAACAACACGTGTTTCCATTGTCTCAACGACATTCCACACATTACCAAATAGATCCACTATCTATCTGTCCTCACCACAACGTAACAGTTAAATTTGGCTCTTTTGTTGCAATGTTGTTAAAAGATTACTTTATTTATTTTTTACCTGTTATATAGGTGGCAGGTGCCTTTAGTTTGATAAATTGATTAATTTTGCATTATTTTCGATCGGGATCGGTTTTATTTCAATCGGGGTCGGCTTTTACCGTAAATTTAGAAATTTAATTTATTTGGCTCTTCATTATAATTTATCTGAAAAAATATGCTTGTCTTTTATTTCTTTTCAGTCAGTTTTCTGTTTTTAAATGAGTGTAACTATAGATTCAATGTGTATATTAAATTTACTTATGTCTTTTACGTACATAAAGATTACATGTAAAACATCTCTTTGATTTCTCGATACTCGGTATTTCAAAAAATGTATTTGTACATGCATTATGCAACAACTGAGAGCAGACAATTTTCTAACTTCATTATCTTATTTCCAAGTAAAATTTCTTTTTTCTATTTTCTCAGGAATTAAAGAGTTAAATTTTATCAGTGACGAAATTCAGCTTGGCTAAATGCAGAAAATATTTTTATGTGTACAGTCACGACTCGAAAAAGTTTTTTTTACTGGTCATCTGTAAAGCCTTTTCCCATACATTGTCCTCTTTTACAAATTTTCATTTTATATAAATAAGAAAATAACTGATATAGTATCATTAAATAAGAGCTGATAAATCGCAAGCAAAAAGCAGAGGGAGGGGGGTCATGACATCATTATTTAAAAAAAATGTACGTGAAAACTTTTAGAATTGGCCAATATATTCACATGTTTAAACTTTATTTTAAATGTGAGTGTGTGATTGTTTCAATCGCATAATTAAAAAAAAATAATAATAATAAAAAAGAAAAAAAAAATGTTTCACTAAACCATCTTCCGTTTTAGTGCCAAATTATACTGGGGAGTTCAGCAGTAATCTAACTCAGTAAATATATTTTTATAACACATTTCAGGGGGTTTTGTTGTTGTTTTTTGTTTTTTTTTCTGGTTTTTGTTTTCCATTTTTTAATCGTACCGCGGATTGTTTATTTTGATTTGACTTCATAGATAAATATATTTTAGTTTTTACAAATATCATAAGGTAAACATTTCAACTTCGTTGAATAAAATGTTGTCTAAATCTAAAACATTCATCATTGATTCCAAACTTTATAAGAATTTTTTATTATAAACACTTCCTTAATTATTCTTACGCAAATCATAGTAAATCAGTAAAAAAAAAGTTCTCAGACATGTATAAAAGTACTTATCAAAACGGAATTGTTTAAATACATCTAGCTGAGACACCGCACGTGTATATAAAAATGGATTCTGCAGAGTAGTTACACAGAAAAATAGAAATAATTTAATTTTTTTTTCTTTACATTTACGCAAAGAATTTACAAACTTCTCTGGAAAACTCGCAACATTTCATTGTGACTCAATATTAGTCAGGTATATGACGTCACTGATACATAAATGGAAACGTGATTTCAAACTGATTAATTAGCCAATTTTTATCTAAATTTTACGTTTGGGGGCGAAAATTAATTATATTTTGAAAATAAATAAGTTATTTTTTTTCGTTTAATAATTTTTCTAAATTGTATCGATTCTAACTATTTCACTAGGATTCCGATAAAAATGTGTTTAGCAGATTTTACCAATGTCACGGGAGATAACTCTTGCATAACAAATTTCACAAAACGTTTATATATTTTGCCAGAAAACTACTATCAAAATTGTTTTTCCCACCGATTTTATTTTTTAAAGAAAAAGATAAAATATTTATAGATTTTGTGAAGTGTGAAATATAATCCTGTTTAAAATGTATTAGAAATTACAGTTCTTTGTTTCTGACCTACATTATTCCTACATTATATTGTTTTTTAACTACATTGATATTGTTTTTAAGCGTGGTGCAGTTGATTAGAGCGTCTTCTTAAGAGTCGCGAAGTAAGGAGTCGATTTTTACGTTGCGGGATCTAATCCCACTGTGGAACGTGTAGACCGGTCCTTCAAATGAGATCATATAAACTGAGGCCCCGTATTGCAGTAGGTGCTGGCACAAAAAAAGATCCCTAAATGGAGCCGTGTGCTGCGCAAAGGAAAAAAATTGCAACTTTTCACCGGTTAGTTTTGGCTCTCAATATGAGTAAAAATTCTCAAGAGGGACGTTAAACAACATGGAGTCATAACATTGCTATATTCAGCTTAACATCTGCTTTTCCACCTTTTTAGATCAATCAATATTAAGTCGAGGAGTCAACTTTTCTTTACTGAACACAGAGATGTTTGAAGTAATTTCAATATTTTATATGCAGACTTACCCTTGATTTTTTATCATGTGATCACAAAAGCAAGCGGATTATTAACCCCTTAAAGCTAACTGGAAATGGTGTACTCCGAGGAAA